CCCAGATCTCAGTGTTTTTTTTTTTTTGGGGGGGGGGGGTCTGGTGGCTGTCCTTCGCTCAATTGCTTTTTGGGGGGATACTCTGGGTTCGGGCCATTCCCGAGCTCAGAGCCCTTCCCTGGACAGCACGCCAACTACGCATTACTATACTTCAAGTAATTATATGTAAGTGTGAACTCGTGAAGTTATGTTATGATACGTAATCAGAGAGTGGGGAGATGGGGGGTGATTCCCCCGGTCTATATGTCTCTCTGCATCAGCTAAATTATTTTTTTATTCCCAGTGAATAGGAGTTAAAACTCCCACCCGGGTGACACTACTCCAATAACAGACCATGCACAATAAACACAAATATTTAAAATATTGCAAAGTAATGTTGCAACCTTGCAAACAATAATAAAATCAGAGAAGGACTTTAACTGTAAGCGACACGAGTATACGCAAAACAAAGGGAACAATATGATGTTTGTTATTATTAAAATTTTATATAGCCCACGTTTTTATAAACATATATTTTTTAATTTACTGCTTAGGCAATAACATTGACAATAACGTATATCTTCAACATACGTTGTCTGTGACCAAAAATGTAAGAAGATATGTTTTCAGTGGACTTTTAAAATGTGCTTTGCTTGAGAAAACAAAAATATACAGTTACAATGTTTTTTTCTTTTGATTTAGTCGAGTTGGTTTTGCATCAAACACAATGTGATTGTCGACAATCGAGATCTGCTTGGGCGAGCGCATCGCTGACAGCTTACCTCGCGCATTAAATCAGCCGCAGACCAGCAAATCACTGAGAACGCGCTACAATCCTGACGAGTCAGAACAACAGAGCTGAGACGAGAAAGAAACAACACACAGAACTACCACATTCTGCTATAAGTTTGATTGCATCATATAATAATTGCTGTTAATAGTGTTCATCGTCTGTTTGATTACGTCTTTAATTGATTTTTCCGTACATTTCTGCCATATGTACATTAACTGACAGTCACCCCTGATTAGGGGTTGAACGACTTCTGATTTTTTGAAGTCGACTTTTATGTGATGAAAGTCGAGTCGAAGTCGACTAGTCGCTGATGACGTCATTAATGAACACATAACTCTGGAGCTGTGATAAACAGCTTGTGCACAGCTATGGCAGATCACACAGCGCTGCCCACACGGCTGTTGCTCCTATAACAGCTTATAACAGTTCTTTTGTCTTTGGGTCGTTATATTTCTCACAGATTTCTCCTGTGTGTGTGTGTGCCTGTGTGTGTGTGTGTGTGTGTGAGAGTGTTTGTGTGTGTGTGCCTGTGTGTGTGTGTGAGTGTTTGTGTTTGTGTGTGTGAGTGCCTGTGTTTGTGTGTGTGTGTGTGCGTGTGTGTGTGTGTGTGTGTGT